TTTCTCGGGTTACACGTCTCTCCCCTAGCTCGCCCCCTCCGGTGCGCTCCTCTCCATAATGCGCTCGTCACCTCCCTCTAAAGCCCCCTGCTGCTACTCTGTAGGACGCTTGGATTGGGGTACTTCACCACTGCTTGTGCCCCCGTCTTTGATACCTCTTTCCTGTGCATTTATGTCCGATCAGACACAGCGCTGACCAGCTGTCTGGTGTGCAACAATGTGCAGAGTGTCGCACCTGAGCGTCACAGAGGACACAGCTCACACCTCCTGCCCAATGTATGACAATTCATTCAAAAGGTGGAGAGAAGGAAAGAGAGGCCCTGTTTAATGCCGAGGTTTTCTTATAAGCCACATTTTCATTCTGTAATACTCAGATTTATCTGCTATAACTTGAAAATATATTGTGCGTTTAATGCCTCTTCCACTGATACCTATTTTGCGCTTGCCGTCATCCTGCTTTCCGTCCAAACTCTCCATGACGTAAACCAGTTGAACACGCAAAAACCTAACTTCAATAGTACCGCCTCCACAAGGTTTGCACCTGGTGTCATTCACGCAAATTTTCTTAGTACATCACCTGCAAAACGCCCAGCAACCAAACGTGCAATTTGTTGGAACAAACACGCAATTTAGTACTCTTTACTTGGGATCTTAGTAAATCAGGCCCGGAGTCTGTTTTTTTAAAATGTGTTTTTCAGATCTGTAATCCGATCAAAACGTTACACAGGAACCTCACACTCTGACTCAGATGTGTTCATTCTTCTCTTCATTCTGAAAATTGTCAGTGTGAGACAGAATGGAGTCATCGAGCCGTGAGGATGACTTTGTGATTCTTTCAGTCCTTAAAAAATAAAGAAATAAAAACCTCTGGGTCCACCCACTCCTGAAAACAAGACAAGAGCCAGGAGAGTTTCCCCTGTTGATAAAAGAGCTGCAGAATGATCAGCATCACTTCAGGTGTATTTCAGGATGTCAGAGTTTGATACGCTGCTAGCTATACTGAAACTACACATTAAAGGAACACCACCAATTTACACACAGAAACTGATCCTGAACACGGATTGGAAGGATGCAAAAAAAGTGAAAATAATAAAGACAGATGAAAGTTTTCAGAGTGCAAACATGATCGACTCAACATGAGATTGTATTTGTTTTTTCAACATGCAGCAAAACAGACTCAGTGTGTGTGTGTACAAACATGACTGTCAGGATTCAATGTTGAAAACACTTACTTGATTTGGGATTTGGGGTCATATGGCGGAATACTGATGCTGTTTCGATCAGATGGACCGAACGATCTGTCACTGAGAATGTTGAAAAAAGAGAGAAAGATTAGATAGTTAGATATCAAACCACAACAACAGATGAAAAACTAAAACTTCTAAATTAGACATCGATCCAGTCAGACTTGATTTAGTTCACTCTGAATGATAAACTCCTGATTCTTACATGAACTTTAAATCTGATCAACCTGACTATTTGGAACATTTCTGGACCAACAGCAACAACAAGGCTGAAAAAAACAACATTTAAAGGAAATCCATAACTTCATCAAAACAAAGAACTTCAGAGAGAATGTGTGTGTTGTTAATCATCATCCAGTGTTTGATGAAAGTAGCAGCGTGTTGAGATTTGAAATAAGAAAATTGCTTAAAGGTGTAATATGTAGATTTTTTAAATTCACTTTTTGAGTACTAAGTTGAGTGGTTAGTGCGCACGCCACTCACACATACTCTGTGCGCGCCGCAGTCCGTCAGCGCCACGATTTTGCTCCGTCAGACGGCTCGCGCTCATTCACACTGGATCCGTTTCTGCGACGTCAGCGCAGCGGAGCGCACCCATGACACATCACAGGAGAACTACAAGATCCCGCGGGAATAAAGAGAAAAACATGCAAACAACATGTTGCTTTGTCTTTCTGAGGATGCATTGTTGTTAATTCAGTTCCTGTTTTGATGTAATGTTGATAAAGTGATGAAAAATACGATCGAGAGTTCGTATATTATGTTTTATTTTGAAATTGACCGGATGCTCTGTGCGTTTCCTTGTCTGACTTCCTGTCCGGGCTGTCATATTCTGTCCAGCTTGATGCGTTCCTGCAGCGTACTCCGGCGAAAATAGACTAGCTGCGTATTTGAAACGGAGCAGAGCGCAGTGCCGTCGGTGGTACGCGGTGCTGACGGCCCGCAGCGCGCCCTGTGTGAACACAATGATCGACTAGAGTGGAAGCTAAGTACAACGTAGTACGCGCCGCTGACGGCCCGCGGTGTGCATGTAGTAAGTGTGAATTGGGCTTCAATATATAGAGGGTTTGAATCCGACCTGTGGCTCCTTTCCCGCATGTCACTCCCCACTCTCTGTCCCTGATTTCCAAATCTATCCGCTTATCTGTCCTCAAACTAAATCTTTAAAAAATAAATAAATAAATGTGATACTCAAGTCCGTGTGAAAGCACTCAATGTCAGTTTTAACTGATATGGTTAAGCCTCATCAAAATATTGATATTTTTAAAACTGTCGGTCTGAATAAGATGTAAGCACATTTCACTCACAGCTTGACAGATGAGGATCCTGAGTATTTATCATCATTTACTGCTTTAGTGACATCTACCTTCAGTTGGGAGAAGGTCGTGTTGGGCCTGTAACAATAAACACGGTTATGATGCAACTTCACCAGAAAAAAGTTCATATCAAAAGAAAATCCAGATTATTTTTTAAATATGATATAAAACAGTGGAATCAGTCAAAGAGTGTTCTTTGTCATTTTATAAAATGTTCAACAAACAGGTGACTGATGACCTAGCAGATCGTAACGTCTCATGTATGGAGGTTAAAGCCATCCAAGTGGACGACCCGGGGTTCAACCTTTTTGACAAGAAACAGAGTCTGCTTTATGACGCTATAATGTCAATGTTTGCCTTTCTATCAACATGTAAACCAGAGGCAGTAGCATTCTTCTCTCTCTCCTTTGACTAATCCCTCCTGAAGGACGGACCAGATGAATCTGACAACTTTCTGTCATTAGATCAAACCCAGAAACTGCTTGATTCCAAAAACAATATGTACCACCACAAAGTGAAAAACCCTTTTGAATGTTTTTCTGGCTCTGCTGCTGAGAAGAAGACCTTAGGGTGGGAATCATATTACCAGAAGAGTTCAGTTAAAAAGTACTTTCCTATCAATGGATTTACATTTACATATATTTTTCTCTGAACAAGCAAACTGTGGAAAATTGACTGTTTGTGATCAAACCACATGCAGCAACTGGTCCTTACAGGGAAACTATGAAGAATGCATCAGATGTTCCTTTTAGAATATGATATAAAGCAGATTGTGTTCGCTCTGAATGGATGTCTCCTCTTTAAAAAGAAGCCTCCTCTTTTCTCTTGACTATGTCGAGTCGTTTAAATCATCTAGAAAGGAGGTCGTTTTTATTGACTTTGTGAATATGTTCAGCACAGAGAACAGGATTAAACCAGATGAACTTTGATTTGAAGTATGCTGTTTTCTCTTCAGGTCACAACAGGCTGCTGTTATTGTAGGAGGAGACATAGGCACAACAAAAGAAGGCATAAAGAAACACATGAATATGACAGCATGAAACACCGTGATTAAACTACAGGCTATTGTTGCCTGTTTAAACGAAACAGAACATTCACAGCCTCTGCATTCTAAAAAATTTCAGCATTGACATTTATTTCTTCCTATTTCCCTCTTTAACATTTCATTTTAAACTGGGGATTTCCTTTTTCTCAGGTTACACGTCTCTCCCCTAGCTCGCCCCCTCCGGTGCGCTCCTCTCCATAATGCGCTCGTCACCTCCCTCTAAAGCCCCCTGCTGCTACTCTGTAGGACACTTGGATTGGGGTACTTCACCACTGCTTGTGCCCCCGTCTTTGATACCTCTTTCCTGTGCATTTATGTCCGATCAGACACAGCGCTGACCAGCTGTCTGGTGTGCAACAATGTGCAGAGTGTCGCACCTGAGCGCCACAGAGGACACAGCTCACACCTCCTGCCCAATGTATGACAATTCATTCAAAAGGTGGAGAGAAGGAAAGAGAGGCCCTGTTTAATGCCGAGGTTTTCTTATAAGCCACATTTTCATTCTGTAATACTCAGATTTATCTGCTATAACTTGAAAATATATTGTGCGTTTAATGCCTCTTCCACTGATACCTATTTTGCGCTTGCCGTCATCCTGCTTTCCGTCCAAACTCTCCATGACGTAAACCAGTTGAACACGCAAAAACCTAACTTCAATAGTACCGCCTCCACAAGGTTTGCACCTGGTGTCATTCACGCAAATTTTCTTAGTACATCACCTGCAAAACGCCCAGCAACCAAACGTGCAATTTGTTGGAACAAACACGCAATTTAGTACTCTTTACTTGGGATCTTAGTAAATCAGGCCCGGAGTCTGTTTTTTTAAAATGTGTTTTTCAGATCTGTAATCCGATCAAAACGTTACACAGGAACCTCACACTCTGACTCAGATGTGTTCATTCTTCTCTTCATTCTGAAAATTGTCAGTGTGAGACAGAATGGAGTCATCGAGCCGTGAGGATGACTTTGTGATTCTTTCAGTCCTTAAAAATAAAGAAATAAAAACCTCTGGGTCCACCCACTCCTGAAAACAAGACAAGAGCCAGGAGAGTTTCCCCTGTTGATAAAAGAGCTGCAGAATGATCAGCATCACTTCAGGTGTATTTCAGGATGTCAGAGTTTGATACGCTGCTAGCTATACTGAAACTACACATTAAAGGAACACCACCAATTTACACACAGAAACTGATCCTGAACACGGATTGGAAGGATGCAAAAAAAGTGAAAATAATAAAGACAGATGAAAGTTTTCAGAGTGCAAACATGATCGACTCAACATGAGATTGTATTTGTTTTTTCAACATGCAGCAAAACAGACTCAGTGTGTGTGTGTACAAACATGACTGTCAGGATTCAATGTTGAAAACACTTACTTGATTTGGGATTTGGGGTCATATGGCGGAATACTGATGCTGTTTCGATCAGATGGACCGAACGATCTGTCACTGAGAATGTTGAAAAAAGAGAGAAAGATTAGATAGTTAGATATCAAACCACAACAACAGATGAAAAACTAAAACTTCTAAATTAGACATCGATCCAGTCAGACTTGATTTAGTTCACTCTGAATGATAAACTCCTGATTCTTACATGAACTTTAAATCTGATCAACCTGACTATTTGGACATTTCTGGACCAACAGCAACAACAAGGCTGAAAAAAACAACATTTAAAGGAAATCCATAACTTCATCAAAACAAAGAACTTCAGAGAGAATGTGTGTGTTGTTAATCATCATCCAGTGTTTGATGAAAGTAGCAGCGTGTTGAGATTTGAAATAAGAAAATTGCTTAAAGGTGTAATATGTAGATTTTTTAAATTCACTTTTTGAGTACTAAGTTGAGTGGTTAGTGCGCACGCCACTCACACATACTCTGTGCGCGCCGCAGTCCGTCAGCGCCACGATTTTGCTCCGTCAGACGGCTCGCGCTCATTCACACTGGATCCGTTTCTGCGACGTCAGCGCAGCGGAGCGCACCCATGACACATCACAGGAGAACTACAAGATCCCGCGGGAATAAAGAGAAAAACATGCAAACAACATGTTGCTTTGTCTTTCTGAGGATGCATTGTTGTTAATTCAGTTCCTGTTTTGATGTAATGTTGATAAAGTGATGAAAAATACGATCGAGAGTTCGTATATTATGTTTTATTTTGAAATTGACCGGATGCTCTGTGCGTTTCCTTGTCTGACTTCCTGTCCGGGCTGTCATATTCTGTCCAGCTTGATGCGTTCCTGCAGCGTACTCCGGCGAAAATAGACTAGCTGCGTATTTGAAACGGAGCAGAGCGCAGTGCCGTCGGTGGTACGCGGTGCTGACGGCCCGCAGCGCGCCCTGTGTGAACACAATGATCGACTAGAGTGGAAGCTAAGTACAACGTAGTACGCGCCGCTGACGGCCCGCGGTGTGCATGTAGTAAGTGTGAATTGGGCTTCAATATATAGAGGGTTTGAATCCGACCTGTGGCTCCTTTCCCGCATGTCACTCCCCACTCTCTGTCCCTGATTTCCAAATCTATCCGCTTATCTGTCCTCAAACTAAATCTTTAAAAAATAAATAAATAAATGTGATACTCAAGTCCGTGTGAAAGCACTCAATGTCAGTTTTAACTGATATGGTTAAGCCTCATCAAAATATTGATATTTTTAAAACTGTCGGTCTGAATAAGATGTAAGCACATTTCACTCACAGCTTGACAGATGAGGATCCTGAGTATTTATCATCATTTACTGCTTTAGTGACATCTACCTTCAGTTGGGAGAGGTCGTGTTGGGCCTGTAACAATAAACACGGTTATGATGCAACTTCACCAGAAAAAAGTTATATCAAAAGAAAATCCAGATTATTTTTAAATATGATATAAAACAGTGGAATCAGTCAAAAGAGTGTTTCTTTGTCATTTTATAAAATGTTCAACAAACAGGTGACTGATGACCTAGCAGATCGTAACGTCTCATGTATGGAGGCTAAAGCCATCCAAGTGGACGACCCGGGGTTCAACCTTTTTGACAAGAAACAGAGTCTGCTTTATGACGCTATAATGTCAATGTTTGCCTTTCTATCAACATGTAAACCAGAGGCAGTAGCATTCTTCTCTCTCTCCTTTGACTAATCCCTCCTGAAGGACGGACCAGATGAATCTGACAACTTTCTGTCATTAGATCAAACCCAGAAACTGCTTGATTCCAAAAACAATATGTACCACCACAAAGTGAAAAACCCTTTGAATGTTTTTCTGGCTCTGCTGCTGAGAAGAAGACCTTAGGGTGGGAATCATATTACCAGAAGAGTTCAGTTAAAAAGTACTTTCCTATCAATGGATTTACATTTACATATATTTTTCTCTGAACAAGCAAACTGTGGAAATTGACTGTTTGTGATCAAACCACATGCAGCAACTGGTCCTTACAGGGAAACTATGAAGAATGCATCAGATGTTCCTTTTAGAATATGATATAAAGCAGATTGTGTTCGCTCTGAATGGATGTCTCCTCTTTAAAAAGAAGCCTCCTCTTTTCTCTTGACTATGTCGAGTCGTTTAAATCATCTAGAAAGGAGGTCGTTTTTATTGACTTTGTGAATATGTTCAGCACAGAGAACAGGATTAAACCAGATGAACTTTGATTTGAAGTATGCTGTTTTCTCTTCAGGTCACAACAGGCTGCTGTTATTGTAGGAGGAGACATAGGCACAACAAAAGAAGGCATAAAAATCGCGCTTTTCCACACACATGAATATGACAGCATGAAACACCGTGATTAAACTACAGGCTATTGTTGCCTGTTTAAACGAAACAGAACATTCACAGCCTCTGCATTCTAAAAAATTTCAGCATTGACATTTATTTCTTCCTATTTCCTCTTTAACATTTCATTTTAAACTGGGGATTTCCTTTTCTCGGTTACGTCTCTCCCCTAGCTCGCCCCCTCCGGTGCGCTCCTCTCCATAATGCGCTCGTCACCTCCCTCTAAAGCCCCTGCTGCTACTCTGTAGGACACTTGGATTGGGGTACTTCACCACTGCTTGTGCCCCCGTCTTTGATACCTCTTTCCTGTGCATTTATGTCCGATCAGACACAGCGCTGACCAGCTGTCTGGTGTGCAACAATGTGCAGAGTGTCGCACCTGAGCGCACAGAGGACACAGCTCACACCTCCTGCCCAATGTATGACAATTCATTCAAAAGGTGGAGAGAAGGAAAGAGAGGCCCTGTTTAATGCCGAGGTTTTCTTATAAGCCACATTTTCATTCTGTAATACTCAGATTTATCTGCTATAACTTGAAAATATATTGTGCGTTTAATGCCTCTTCCACTGATACCTATTTTGCGCTTGCCGTCATCCTGCTTTCCGTCCAAACTCTCCATGACGTAAACCAGTTGAACACGCAAAAACCTAACTTCAATAGTACCGCCACCAAGGTTTGCACCTGGTGTCATTCACGCAAATTTTCTTAGTACATCACCTGCAAAACGCCCAGCAACCAAACGTGCAATTTGTTGGAACAAACACGCAATTTAGTACTCTTTACTTGGGATCTTAGTAAATCAGGCCGGAGTCTGTTTTTTTAAAATGTGTTTTTCAGATCTGTAATCCGATCAAAACGTTACACAGGAACCTCACACTCTGACTCAGATGTGTTCATTCTTCTCTTCATTCTGAAAATTGTCAGTGTGAGACAGAATGGAGTCATCGAGCCGTGAGGATGACTTTGTGATTCTTTCAGTCCTTAAAAAATAAAGAAATAAAAACCTCTGGGTCCACCCACTCCTGAAAACAAGACAAGAGCCAGGAGAGTTTCCCCTGTTGATAAAAGAGCTGCAGAATGATCAGCATCACTTCAGGTGTATTTCAGGATGTCAGAGTTTGATACGCTGCTAGCTATACTGAAACTACACATTAAAGGAACACCACCAATTTACACACAGAAACTGATCCTGAACACGGATTGGAAGGATGCAAAAAAAGTGAAAATAATAAAGACAGATGAAAGTTTTCAGAGTGCAAACATGATCGACTCAACATGAGATTGTATTTGTTTTTTCAACATGCAGCAAAACAGACTCAGTGTGTGTGTGTACAAACATGACTGTCAGGATTCAATGTTGAAAACACTTACTTGATTTGGGATTTGGGGTCATATGGCGGAATACTGATGCTGTTTCGATCAGATGGACCGAACGATCTGTCACTGAGAATGTTGAAAAAAGAGAGAAAGATTAGATAGTTAGATATCAAACCACAACAACAGATGAAAACTAAAACTTCTAAATTAGACATCGATCCAGTAGACTTGATTTAGTTCACTCTGAATGATAAACTCCTGATTCTTACATGAACTTTAAACCTGATCAACCTGACTATTTGGGACATTTCTGGACCAACAGCAACAACAAGGCTGAAAAAAACAACATTTAAAGGAAATCCATAACTTCATCAAAACAAAGAACTTCAGAGAGAATGTGTGTGTTGTTAATCATCATCCAGTGTTTGATGAAAGTAGCAGCGTGTTGAGATTTGAAATAAGAAAATTGCTTAAAGGTGTAATATGTAGATTTTTAAAAATTCACTTTTTGAGTACTAAGTTGAGTGGTTAGTGCGCACGCCACTCACACATACTCTGTGCGCGCCGCAGTCCGTCAGCGCCACGATTTTGCTCCGTCAGACGGCTCGCGCTCATTCACACTGGATCCGTTTCTGCGACGTCAGCGCAGCAGAGCGCACCCATGACACATCACAGGAGAACTACAAGATCCGCGGGAATAAAGAGAAAACATGCAAACAACATGTTGCTTTGTCTTTCTGAGGATGCATTGTTGTTAATTCGGTTCCTGTTTTGATGTAATGTTGATAAAGTGATGAAAAATACGATCGAGAGTTCGTATATTATGTTTTATTTTGAAATTGACCGGATGCTCTGTGCGTTTCCTTGTCTGACTTCCTGTCCGGGCTGTCATATTCTGTCCAGCTTGATGCGTTCCTGCAGCGTACTCCGGCGAAAATAGACTAGCTGCGTATTTGAAACGGAGCAGAGCGCAGTGCCGTCGGTGGTACGCGGTGCTGACGGCCCGCAGCGCCCTGTGTGAACACAATGATCGACTAGAGTGGAAGCTAAGTAAACGTAGTACGCGCCGCTGACGGCCCGCGGTGTGCATGTAGTAAGTGTGAATTGGGCTTCAATATATAGAGGGTTTGAATCCGACCTGTGGCTCCTTTCCCGCATGTCACTCCCCACTCTCTGTCCCTGATTTCCAAATCTATCCGCTTATCTGTCCTCAAACGAAATCTTTAAAAAATAAATAAATAAATGTGATACTCAAGTCCGTGTGAAAGCACTCAATGTCAGTTTTAACTGATATGGTTAAGCCTCATCAAAATATTGATATTTTTAAAACTGTCGGTCTGAATAAGATGTAAGCACATTTCACTCACAGCTTGACAGATGAGGATCCTGAGTATTTATCATCATTTACTGCTTTAGTGACATCTACCTTCAGTTGGGAGAAGGTCGTGTTGGGCCTGTAACAATAAACACAGTTATGATGCAACTTCACCAGAAAAAAGTTCATATCAAAAGAAAATCCAGATTATTTTTAAATATGATATAAAACAGTGGAATCAGAAAAGGTTAGAGTTTTCTTTGTCATTTTATAAAATGTTCAACAAACAGGTGACTGATGACCTAGCAGATCGTAACGTCTCATGTATGGAGGTTAAAGCCATCCAAGTGGACGACCCGGGGTTCAACCTTTTTGACAAGAAACAGAGTCTGCTTTATGACGCTATAATGTCAATGTTTGCCTTTCTATCAACATGTAAACCAGAGGCAGTAGCATTCTTCTCTCTCTCCTTTGACTAATCCCTCCTGAAGGACGGACCAGATGAATCTGACAACTTTCTGTCATTAGATCAAACCCAGAAACTGCTTGATTCCAAAAACAATATGTACCACCACAAAGTGAAAAACCCTTTTGAATGTTTTTCTGGCTCTGCTGCTGAGAAGAAGACCTCAGGGTGGGAATCATATTACCAGAAGAGTTCAGTTAAAAAGTACTTTCCTATCAATGGATTTACATTTACATATATTTTTCTCTGAACAAGCAAACTGTGGAAATTTGACTGTTTGTGATCAAACCACATGCAGCAACTGGTCCTTACAGGGAAACTATGAAGAATGCATCAGATGTTCCTTTTAGAATATGATATAAAGCAGATTGTGTTCGCTCTGAATGGATGTCTCCTCTTTAAAAAGAAGCCTCCTCTTTTCTCTTGACTATGTCGAGTCCTTTAAATCATCTAGAAAGGAGGTCGTTTTTATTGACTTTGTGAATATGTTCATTGTATTTGTTTTTTCAACATGCAGCAAAACAGACTCAGTGTGTGTGTGTACAAACATGACTGTCAGGATTCAATGTTGAAAACACTTACTTGATTTGGGATTTGGGGTCATATGGCGGAATACTGATGCTGTTTCGATCAGATGGACCGAACGATCTGTCACTGAGAATGTTGAAAAAAGAGAGAAAGATTAGATAGTTAGATATCAAACCACAACAACAGATGAAAAACTAAAACTTCTAAATTAGACATCGATCCAGTAAGACTTGATTTAGTTCACTCTGAATGATAAACTCCTGATTCTTACATGAACTTTAAATCTGATCAACCTGACTATTTGGGACATTTCTGGACCAACAGCAACAACAAGGCTGAAAAAAACAACATTTAAAGGAAATCCATAACTTCATCAAAACAAAGAACTTCAGAGAGAATGTGTGTGTTGTTAATCATCATCCAGTGTTTGATGAAAGTAGCAGCGTGTTGAGATTTGAAATAAGAAAATTGCTTAAAGGTGTAATATGTAGATTTTTAAAAATTCACTTTTTGAGTACTAAGTTGAGTGGTTAGTGCGCACGCCACTCACACATACTCTGTGCGCGCCGCAGTCCGTCAGCGCCACGATTTTGCTCCGTCAGACGGCTCGCGCTCATTCACACTGGATCCGTTTCTGCGACGTCAGCGCAGCAGAGCGCACCCATGACACATCACAGGAGAACTACAAGATCCCGCGGGAATAAAGAGAAAAACATGCAAACAACATGTTGCTTTGTCTTTCTGAGGATGCATTGTTGTTAATTCGGTTCCTGTTTTGATGTAATGTTGATAAAGTGATGAAAAATACGATCGAGAGTTCGTATATTATGTTTTATTTTGAAATTGACCGGATGCTCTGTGCGTTTCCTTGTCTGACTTCCTGTCCGGGCTGTCATATTCTGTCCAGCTTGATGCGTTCCTGCAGCGTACTCCGGCGAAAATAGACTAGCTGCGTATTTGAAACGGAGCAGAGCGCAGTGCCGTCGGTGGTACGCGGTGCTGACGGCCCGCAGCGCGCCCTGTGTGAACACAATGATCGACTAGAGTGGAAGCTAAGTAAAACGTAGTACGCGCCGCTGACGGCCCGCGGTGTGCATGTAGTAAGTGTGAATTGGGCTTCAATATATAGAGGGTTTGAATCCGACCTGTGGCTCCTTTCCCGCATGTCACTCCCCACTCTCTGTCCCTGATTTCCAAATCTATCCGCTTATCTGTCCTCAAACGAAATCTTTAAAAAATAAATAAATAAATGTGATACTCAAGTCCGTGTGAAAGCACTCAATGTCAGTTTTAACTGATATGGTTAAGCCTCATCAAAATATTGATATTTTTAAAACTGTCGGTCTGAATAAGATGTAAGCACATTTCACTCACAGCTTGACAGATGAGGATCCTGAGTATTTATCATCATTTACTGCTTTAGTGACATCTACCTTCAGTTGGGAGAAGGTCGTGTTGGGCCTGTAACAATAAACACAGTTATGATGCAACTTCACCAGAAAAAAGTTATATCAAAAGAAAATCCAGATTATTTTTTAATATGATATAAAACAGTGGAATCAGGAAAAAGAGGTTATGAGTTTTCTTTGTCATTTTATAAAATGTTCAACAAACAGGTGACTGATGACCTAGCAGATCGTAACGTCTCATGTATGGAGGTTAAAGCCATCCAAGTGGACGACCCGGGGTTCAACCTTTTTGACAAGAAACAGAGTCTGCTTTATGACGCTATAATGTCAATGTTTGCCTTTCTATCAACATGTAAACCAGAGGCAGTAGCATTCTTCTCTCTCTCCTTTGACTAATCCCTCCTGAAGGACGGACCAGATGAATCTGACAACTTTCTGTCATTAGATCAAACCCAGAAACTGCTTGATTCCAAAAACAATATGTACCACCACAAAGTGAAAAACCCTTTCGAATGTTTTTCTGGCTCTGCTGCTGAGAAGAAGACCTTAGGGTGGGAATCATATTACCAGAAGAGTTCAGTTAAAAAGTACTTTCCTATCAATGGATTTACATTTACATATATTTTTCTCTGAACAAGCAAACTGTGGAAAATTGACTGTTTGTGATCAAACCACATGCAGCAACTGGTCCTTACAGGGAAACTATGAAGAATGCATCAGATGTTCCTTTTAGAATATGATATAAAGCAGATTGTGTTCGCTCTGAATGGATGTCTCCTCTTTAAAAAGAAGCCTCCTCTTTTCTCTTGACTATGTCGAGTCGTTTAAATCATCTAGAAAGGAGGTCGTTTTTATTGACTTTGTGAATATGTTCAGCACAGAGAACAGGATTAAACCAGATGAACTTTGATTTGAAGTATGCTGTTTTCTCTTCAGGTCACAACAGGCTGCTGTTATTGTAGGAGGAGACATAGGCACAACAAAAGAAGGCATAAAGAAACACATGAATATGACAGCATGAAACACCGTGATTAAACTACAGGCTATTGTTGCCTGTTTAAACGAAACAGAACATTCACAGCCTCTGCATTCTAAAAAATTTCAGCATTGACATTTATTTCTTCCTATTTCCCTCTTTAACATTTCATTTTAAACTGGGGATTTCCTTTTTCTCAGGTTACACGTCTCTCCCCTAGCTCGCCCCCTCCGGTGCGCTCCTCTCCATAATGCGCTCGTCACCTCCCTCTAAAGCCCCTGCTGCTACTCTGTAGGACACTTGGATTAGGGTACTTCACCACTGCTTGTGCCCCCGTCTTTGATACCTCTTTCCTGTGCATTTATGTCCGATCAGACACAGCGCTGACCAGCTGTCTGGTGTGCAACAATGTGCAGAGTGTCGCACCTGAGCGCCACAGAGGACACAGCTCACACCTCCTGCCCAATGTATGACAATTCATTCAAAAGGTGGAGAGAAGGAAAGAGAGGCCCTGTTTAATGCCGAGGTTTTCTTATAAGCCACATTTTCATTCTGTAATACTCAGATTTATCTGCTATAACTTGAAAATATATTGTGCGTTTAATGCCTCTTCCACTGATACCTATTTTGCGCTTGCCGTCATCCTGCTTTCCGTCCAAACTCTCCATGACGTAAACCAGTTGAACACGCAAAAACCTAACTTCAATAGTACCGCCACAAGGTTTGCACCTGGTGTCATTCACGCAAATTTTCTTAGTACATCACCTGCAAAACGCCCAGCAACCAAACGTGCAATTTGTTGGAACAAACACGCAATTTAGTACTCTTTACTTGGGATCTTAGTAAATCAGGCCCGGAGTCTGTTTTTTTAAAATGTGTTTTTCAGATCTGTAATCCGATCAAAACGTTACACAGGAACCTCACACTCTGACTCAGATGTGTTCATTCTTCTCTTCATTCTGAAAATTGTCAGTGTGAGACAGAATGGAGTCATCGAGCCGTGAGGATGACTTTGTGATTCTTTCAGTCCTTAAAAAATAAAGAAATAAAAACCTCTGGGTCCACCCACTCCTGAAAACAAGACAAGAGCCAGGAGAGTTTCCCCTGTTGATAAAAGAGCTGCAGAATGATCAGCATCACTTCAGGTGTATTTCAGGATGTCAGAGTTTGATACGCTGCTAGCTATACTGAAACTACACATTAAAGGAACACCACCAATTTACACACAGAAACTGATCCTGAACACGGATTGGAAGGATGCAAAAAAAGTGAAAATAATAAAGACAGATGAAAGTTTTCAGAGTGCAAACATGATCGACTCAACATGAGATTGTATTTGTTTTTTCAACATGCAGCAAAACAGACTCAGTGTGTGTGTGTACAAACATGACTGTCAGGATTCAATGTTGAAAACACTTACTTGATTTGGGATTTGGGGTCATATGGCGGAATACTGATGCTGTTTCGATCAGATGGACCGAACGATCTGTCACTGAGAATGTTGAAAAAAGAGAGAAAGATTAGATAGTTAGATATCAAACCACAACAACAGATGAAAAACTAAAACTTCTAAATTAGACATCGATCCAGTCAGACTTGATTTAGTTCACTCTGAATGATAAACTCCTGATTCTTACATGAACTTTAAATCTGATCAACCTGACTATTTGGAACATTTCTGGACCAACAGCAACAACAAGGCTGAAAAAACAACATTTAAAGGAAATCCATAACTTCATCAAAACAAAGAACTTCAGAGAGAATGTGTGTGTTGTTAATCATCATCCAGTGTTTGATGAAAGTAGCAGCGTGTTGAGATTTGAAATAAGAAAATTGCTTAAAGGTGTAATATGTAGATTTTTTAAATTCACTTTTTGAGTACTAAGTTGAGTGGTTAGTGCGCACGCCACTCACACATACTCTGTGCGCGCCGCAGTCCGTCAGCGCCACGATTTTGCTCCGTCAGACGGCTCGCGCTCATTCACACTGGATCCGTTTCTGCGACGTCAGCGCAGCGGAGCGCACCCATGACACATCACAGGAGAACTACAAGATCCCGCGGGAATAAAGAGAAAAACATGCAAACAACATGTTGCTTTGTCTTTCTGAGGATGCATTGTTGTTAATTCAGTTCCTGTTTTGATGTAATGTTGATAAAGTGATGAAAAATACGATCGAGAGTTCGTATATTATGTTTTATTTTGAAATTGACCGGATGCTCTGTGCGTTTCCTTGTCTGACTTCCTGTCCGGGCTGTCATATTCTGTCCAGCTTGATGCGTTCCTGCAGCGTACTCCGGCGAAAATAGACTCGCTGCGTATTTGAAACGGAGCAGAGCGCAGTGCCGTCGGTGGTACGCGGTGCTGACGGCCCGCAGCGCGCCCTGTGTGAACACAATGATCGACTAGAGTGGAAGCTAAGTACAACGTAGTACGCGCCGCTGACGGCCCGCGGTGTGCATGTAGTAAGTGTGAATTGGGCTTCAATATATAGAGGGTTTGAATCCGACCTGTGGCTCCTTTCCCGCATGTCACTCCCCACTCTCTGTCCCTGATTTCCAAATCTATCCGCTTATCTGTCCTCAAACTAAATCTTTAAAAAATAAATAAATAAATGTGATACTCAAGTCCGTGTGAAAGCACTCAATGTCAGTTTTAACTGATATGGTTAAGCCTCATCAAAATATTGATATTTTTAAAACTGTCGGTCTGAATAAGATGTAAGCACATTTCACTCACAGCTTGACAGATGAGGATCCTGAGTATTTATCATCATTTACTGCTTTAGTGACATCTACCTTCAGTTGGGAGAAGGTCGTGTTGGGCCTGTAACAATAAACACGGTTATGATGCAACTTCACCAGAAAAAAGTTCATATCAAAAGAAAATCCAGATTATTTTTAAATATGATATAAAACAGTGGAATCAGTCAAAGAGTGTTCTTTGTCATTTTATAAAATGTTCAACAAACAGGTGACTGATGACCTAGCAGATCGTAACGTCTCATGTATGGAGGCTAAAGCCATCCAAGTGGACGACCCGGGGTTCAACCTTTTTGACAAGAAACAGAGTCTGCTTTATGACGCTATAATGTCAATGTTTGCCTTTCTATCAACATGTAAACCAGAGGCAGTAGCATTCTTCTCTCTCTCCTTTGACTAATCCCTCCTGAAGGACGGACCAGATGAATCTGACAACTTTCTGTCATTAGATCAAACCCAGAAACTGCTTGATTCCAAAAACAATATGTACCACCACAAAGTGAAAAACCCTTTTGAATGTTTTTCTGGCTCTGCTGCTGAGAAGAAGACCTTAGGGTGGGAATCATATTACCAGAAGAGTTCAGTTAAAAAGTACTTTCCTATCAATGGATTTACATTTACATATATTTTTCTCTGAACAAGCAAACTGTGGAAAATTGACTGTTTGTGATCAAACCACATGCAGCAACTGGTCCTTACAGGGAAACTATGAAGAATGCATCAGATGTTCCTTTTAGAATATGATATAAAGCAGATTGTGTTCGCTCTGAATGGATGTCTCCTCTTTAAAAAGAAGCCTCCTCTTTTCTCTTGACTATGTCGAGTCGTTTAAATCATCTAGAAAGGAGGTCGTTTTTATTGACTTTGTGAATATGTTCAGCACAGAGAACAGGATTAAACCAGATGAACTTTGATTTGAAGTATGCTGTTTTCTCTTCAGGTCACAACAGGCTGCTGTTATTGTAGGAGGAGACATAGGCACAACAAAAGAAGGCATAAAGAAACACATGAATATGACAGCATGAAACACCGTGATTAAACTACAGGCTATTGTTGCCTGTTTAAACGAAACAGAACATTCACAGCCTCTGCATTCTAAAAAATTTCAGCATTGACATTTATTTCTTCCTATTTCCCTCTTTAACATTTCATTTTAAACTGGGGATTTCCTTTTCCTCGGGTTACGCGTCTCTCCCCTAGCTCGCCCCCTCCGGTGCGCTCCTCTCCATAATGCGCTCGTCACCTCCCTCTAAAGCCCCCTGCTGCTACTCTGTAGGACACTTGGATTGGGGTACTTCACCACTGCTTGTGCCCCCGTCTTTGATACCTCTTTCCTGTGCATTTATGTCCGATCAGACACAGCGCTGACCAGCTGTCTGGTGTGCAACAATGTGCAGAGTGTCGCACCTGAGCGCCACAGAGGACACAGCTCACACCTCCTGCCCAATGTATGACAATTCATTCAAAAGGTGGAGAGAAGGAAAGAGAGGCCCTGTTTAATGCCGAGGTTTTCTTATAAGCCACATTTTCATTCTGTAATACTCAGATTTATCTGCTATAACTTGAAAATATATTGTGCGTTTAATGCCTCTTCCACTGATACCTATTTTGCGCTTGCCGTCATCCTGCTTTCCGTCCAAACTCTCCATGACGTAAACCAGTTGAACACGCAAAAACCTAACTTCAATAGTACCGCCACCACAAGGTTTGCACCTGGTGTCATTCACGCAAATTTTCTTAGTACATCACCTGCAAAACGCCCAGCAACCAAACGTGCAATTTGTTGGAACAAACACGCAATTTAGTACTCTTTACTTGGGATCTTAGTAAATCAGGCCCGGAGTCTGTTTTTTTAAAATGTGTTTTTCAGATCTGTAATCCGATCAAAACGTTACACAGGAACCTCACACTCTGACTCAGATGTGTTCATTCTTCTCTTCATTCTGAAAATTGTCAGTGTGAGACAGAATGGAGTCATCGAGCCGTGAGGATGACTTTGTGATTCTTTCAGTCCTTAAAAAATAAAGAAATAAAAACCTCTGGGTCCACCCACTCCTGAAAACAAGACAAGAGCCAGGAGAGTTTCCCCTGTTGATAAAAGAGCTGCAGAATGATCAGCATCACTTCAGGTGTATTTCAGGATGTCAGAGTTTGATACGCTGCTAGCTATACTGAAACTACACATTAAAGGAACACCACCAATTTACACACAGAAACTGATCCTGAACACGGATTGGAAGGATGCAAAAAAAGTGAAAATAATAAAGACAGATGAAAGTTTTCAGAGTGCAAACATGATCGACTCAACATGAGATTGTATTTGTTTTTTCAACATGCAGCAAAACAGACTCAGTGTGTGTGTGTACAAACATGACTGTCAGGATTCAATGTTGAAAACACTTACTTGATTTGGGATTTGGGGTCATATGGCGGAATACTGATGCTGTTTCGATCAGATGGACCGAACGATCTGTCACTGAGAATGTTGAAAAAAGAGAGAAAGATTAGATAGTTAGATATCAAACCACAACAACAGATGAAAAACTAAAACTTCTAAATTAGACATCGATCCAGTCAGACTTGATTTAGTTCACTCTGAATGATAAACTCCTGATTCTTACATGAACTTTAAATCTGATCAACCTGACTATTTGGAACATTTCTGGACCAACAGCAACAACAAGGCTGAAAAAAACAACATTTAAAGGAAATCCATAACTTCATCAAAACAAAGAACTTCAGAGAGAATGTGTGTGTTGTTAATCATCATCCAGTGTTTGATGAAAGTAGCAGCGTGTTGAGATTTGAAATAAGAAAATTGCTTAAAGGTGTAATATGTAGATTTTTTAAATTCACTTTTTGAGTACTAAGTTGAGTGGTTAGTGCGCACGCCACTCACACATACTCTGTGCGCGCCGCAGTCCGTCAGCGCCACGATTTTGCTCCGTCAGACGGCTCGCGCCCATTCACACTGGATCCGTTTCTGCGACGTCAGCGCAGCGGAGCGCACCCATGACACATCACAGGAGAACTACAAGATCCCGCGGGAATAAAGAGAAAAACATGCAAACAACATGTTGCTTTGTCTTTCTGAGGATGCATTGTTGTTAATTTGGTTCCTGTTTTGATGTAATGTTGATAAAGTGATGAAAAATACGATCAAGAGTTCGTATATTATGTTTTATTTTGAAATTGACCGGATGCTCTGTGCGTTTCCTTGTCTGACTTCCTGTCCGAGCTGTCATATTCTGTCCAGCTTGACGCGTTCCTGCAGCGTACTCCGGCGAAAATAGACTAGCTGCGTATTTGAAACGGAGCAGAGCGCAGTGCCGTCGGTGGTACGCGGCGCTGACGGCCCGCAGCGCGCCCTGTGTGAACACAATGATTGACTAGAGTGGAAGCTAAGTACAACGTAGTACGCGCCGCTGACGGCCCGCGGTGTGCATGTAGTAAGTGTGAATTGGGCTTCAATATATAGAGGGTTTGAATCCGACCTGTGGCTCCTTTCCCGCATGTCACTCCCCACTCTCTGTCCCTGATTTCCAAATCTATCCGCTTATCTGTCCTCAAACTAAATCTTTAAAAAATAAATAAATAAATGTGATACTCAAGTCCGTGTGAAAGCACTCAATGTCAGTTTTAACTGATACGGTTAAGCCTCATCAAAATATTGATATTTTTAAAACTTTCAGTCTGAATAAGATGTAAGCACATTTCACTCACAGCTTGACAGATGAGTATCCTGAGTATTTATCATCATCTGCTGCTTTAGCGCCATCTATCTTCAGTTGGGTGGAGGTCGAGTTGAGCCTGTAACAATAAACACGGTTATGATGCAACTTCACCAGAAAAAAGTTCATATCAAAAGAAAATCCAGATTATTTTTAAATATGATATAAAACAGTGGAATCAGTCAAAAGAGGTTATGAGTTTTCTTTGTCATTTTATAAAATGTTCAACAAACAGGTGACTGATGACCTAGCAGATCATAACGTCTCATGTATGGAGGTTAAAGCCATCCAAGTGGACGACCCGGGGTTCAACCTTTTTGACAAGAAACAGAGTCTGCTTTATGACGCTATAATGTCAATGTCTGCCTTTCTATCAACATGTAAACCAGAGGCAGTAGCATTCTTCTCTCTCTCCTTTGACTAATCCCTCCTGAAGGACGGACCAGATGAATCTGACAACTTTCTGTCATTAGATCAAACCCAGAAACTGCTTGATTCCAAAAACAATATGTACCACCACAAAGTGAAAAACCCTTTTGAATGTTTTTCTGGCTCTGCTGCTGAGAAGAAGACCTTAGGGTGGGAATCATATTACCAGAAGAGTTCAGTTAAAAAGTACTTTCTATCAATGGATTTACATTTACATATATTTTTCTCTGAACAAGCAAACTGTGGAAATTGACTGTTTGTGATCAAACCACATGCAGCAACTGGTCCTTACAGGGAAACTATGAAGAATGCATCAGATGTTCCTTTTAGAATATGATATAAAGCAGATTGTGTTCGCTCTGAATGGATGTCTCCTCTTTAAAAAGAAGCCTCCTCTTTTCTCTTGACTATGTCGAGTCGTTTAAATCATCTAGAAAGGAGGTCGTTTTTATTGACTTTGTGAATATGTTCAGCACAGAGAACAGGATTAAACCAGATGAACTTTGATTTGAAGTATGCTGTTTTCTCTTCAGGTCACAACAGGCTGCTGTTATTGTAGGAGGAGACATAGGCACAACAAAAGAAGGCATAAAGAAACACATGAATATGACAGCATGAAACACCGTGATTAAACTACAGGCTATTGTTGCCTGTTTAAACGAAACTGAACATTCACAGCCTCTGCATTCTAAAAAATTTCAGCATTGACATTTATTTCTTCCTAACTTCCTAATTTCTTTAACATTTCATTTTAAACTGGGGATTTCCTTTTTCTCGGGTTACGCGTCTCTCCCCTAGCTCGCCCCCTCCGGTGCGCTCCTCTCCATAATGCGCTCGTCACCTCCCTCTAAAGCCCCCTGCTGCTACTCTGTAGGACGCTTGGATTGGGGTACTTCACCACTGCTTGTGCCCCCGTCTTTGATACCTCTTTCCTGTGCATTTATGTCCGATCAGACACAGCGCTGACCAGCTGTCTGGTGCGCAACAATGTGCAGAGTGTTGCACCTGAGCGTCACAGAGGACACAGCTCACACCTCCTGCCCAATGTATGACAATTCATTCAAAAGGTGGAGAGAAGGAAAGAGAAGCCCTGTTTAATGCTGAGGTTTTCTTATAAGCCACATTTTCATTCTGTAATACTCAGATTTATATTCTATAACTTGAAAATATTGTGCGTTTAATGCCTCTTCCACTGATACCTATTTTGCGCTTGCAGTCATCCTGCTTTCCGTCCAAACTCTCCATGACGTAAACCAGTAGAACACACAAAAACCTAACTTAAATAGTACCGCCTCCACAAGGTTTGCACCTGGTGTCATTCACGCAAATTTTCTTAGTAGATCACCTGCAAAACGCCAGCAACCAAACGTGCAATTTGTTGGAACAAACACGCAATTTAGTACTCTTTACTTGGGATCTTAGTAAATCTGGCCCGGAGTCTGTTTTTTAAAAATGTGTTTTTCAGATCTGTAATCCGATCAAAACGTTACACAGGAACCTCACACTCTGAGTCAGATGTGTTCATTCTTCTCTTCATTCTGAAAATTGTCAGTGTGAGACAGAATGGAGTCATCAAGCCGTGAGGATGACTTTGTGATTCTTTCAGTCCTTAAAAAATAAAGAAATAAAAACCTCTGGGTCCACCCACTCCTGAAAACAAGACAAGAGCCAGGAGAGTTTCCCCTGTTGATAAAAGAGCTGCAGAATGATCAGCATCACTTCAGGTGTATTTCAGGATGTCAGAGTTTGATACGCTGCTAGCTATACTTAAACTACACATTAAAGGAACACCACCAATTTACACACAGAAACTGATCCTGAACACGGATTGGAAGGATGCAAAAAAAGTTAGAAAAACAAACCTGTTGTGAAAATAATAAAGACAGATGAAAGTTTTCAGAGTGCAAACATGATCGACTCAACATGAGATTGTATTTGTTTTTTAAACATGCAGCAAAACAGACTCAGTGTGTGTGTGTGTGTGTGTGTGTGTGTGTGTGTGTGTGTGTGTGTGTGTGTGTGTGTGTGTGTACAAACATGACTGTCAGGATTCATTGTTGAAAACACTTACATGTCTGGGTCACATATTTCTAATTTTTTTAAATCAATTATTTTTCCTGTTGACCGATCACTGTGGAGGGATAGATCAGATGGACGTGTCGATTGGTCGTCATCACTGAGAAAGCTGAAAAAGAGAGAAAGATTAGATAGTTAGATATCAAACCACAACAACAGATGAAAAACTTCAAGATTAGTCCAGTCAGACTTGATCTGGTTCACTCTGAATGATTAACCCAGCTTCTCATATGGAAATCAAACCTGAGTTTTTTATGAGATATTTCTGAACCAGCAGGAACAATAATTTTATAAATATGTGAAAACAAAAATCAATTTACCTTTGCTGAAGAAAAAAAACATTTAACTGATGTTCATAGCTTCATCTGAAAGAATACATACTGTATATGTTGTAAATACATTTTACTCACCAATCAGGTGGGAGGTCGGCCAAAAAACATTTTTGTTGCATTTGATTGATTTTCTTCTGTTTCTGCAGAAGTCGCCATGTTTGATACCTGCAACAAGAGACACACTGATGATGTTTCTTTATTACAAATGAAATATGAAGAGCAAAGCAGACACTGAGCAACACATTAAACACTGTGTTGTTTCTTTATTCCATGAATGACACAAAGGATCAAAGTAGAGAGGAGGTGTTGATGTTACACAGGAACCTCACACTCTGAGTCAGATGTGTTCAAACAGAAAAACAAACCTGTTGTGAAAATAATAAAGACAGATGAAAGTTTTCAGAGTGCAAACATGATCGACTCAACATGAGATTGTATTTGTTTTTTCAACATGCAGCAAAACAGACTCAGTGTGTGTGTGTACAAACATGACTGTCAGGATTCAATGTTAAAAACACTTACTTGTTTGGGTGGCTTTTTTCTAATTTTTTTAAATCAATCATTTTTCCATTTGACCAATCACTGTGGAGGGATGGAACAGATGGACATGTCGATTGGTCGTCATCACTGAGAATGTTGAAAAAAGAGAGAAAGATTAGATAGTTAGATATCAAACCACAACAACAGATGAAAAACTAAAACTTCTAAATTAGACATAATTCCAGTAAGACTTGATTTAGTTCACTCTGAATGATAAACTCCTGATTCTTACATGAACATTAAACCTGATCAACCTGACTATTTGGAACATTTCTGGACCAACAGTAACAAGAAGTTTGAAAAATAAAACATTTAAAGGAAATCCATAACTTCATCAAAACAAAGAACTTCAGAGAGAATGTGTGTGTTGTTAATCATCATCCAGTGTTTGATGAAAGTAGCAGCGTGTTGAGATTTGAAATAAGAAAATTGCTTAAAGGTGTAATATGTAGATTTTTAAAAATTCACTAAACATCAGTTGTATTTTTTTGTTGAGTACTAAGTTGAGTGGTTAGTGCGCACGCCCAATATATAGAGGGTTTGAATCCGACCTGGGGCTCCTGTCCTGCATGTCACTCCCCACTCTCTGTCCCTGATTTCTAAATCTATCCACTTATCTGTCCTAAAACGAAATCTTTAAAAAATAAATAAATAAATGTGATACTAAAGTCTGTGTGAAAGAACTCAATGTCAGTTTTAACTGATACGGTGAAGCCTCATCAAAATATTGATATTTTTAAAACTGTCAGTCTGAATAAGATGTAAGCACATTTCACTCACTGACTGACAGATGAGAATCCTGACTCATTATCATCATCTGCTGCTTCAGCGCCATCTATCATCGATTGGGTGGAGGTTGATTTGAGCCTGTAACAATAAACACGGTTATGATGCAACTTCACCAGAAAAAAGTTCATATCAAAAGAAAATCCAGATTATATTTTATTTTGATATAAAACAGTGGAATCAGTCAAAGAGTGTTCATTATCATTTTATAAAATGTTCAACAAACAGGTGACTGATGACCTAGCAGATCGTAACGTCTCATGTATGGAGGCTACAGCCATCCAAGTGGACGACCCGGGGTTCAACCTTTTTGACAAGCAACAGAGTCTGCTTTATGACGCTATAATGTCAATGTTTACCTTTCTATCAACATGTAAACCAGAGGCAGTAGCATTCTTCTCTCTCTCCTTTGACTAATCCCTCCTGAAGGACGGACCAGATGAATCTGACAACTTTCTGTCATTAGATCAAACCCAGAAACTGCTTGATTCCAAAAACAATATGTACCACCACAAAGTGAAAAACCCTTTTGAATGTTTTTCTGGCTCTGCTGCTGAGAAGAAGACCTCAGGGTGGGAATCATATTACCAGAAGAGTTCAGTTAAAAAGTACTTTCCTATCAATGGATTTACATTTACATATATTTTTCTCTGAACAAGCAAACTGTGGAAATTTGACTGTTTGTGATCAAACCACATGCAGCAACTGGTCCTTACAGGGAAACTATGAAGAATGCATCAGATTTTCCTTTTAGAATATGATATAAAGCAGATTGTGTTCGCTCTGAATGGATGTCTCCTCTTTAAAAAGAAGCCTCCTCTTTTCTCTTGACTATGTCGAGTCGTTTAAATCATCTAGAAAGGAGGTCGTTTTTATTGACTTTGTGAATATGTTCAGCACAGAGAACAGGATTAAACCAGATGAACTTTGATTTGAAGTATGCTGTTTTCTCTTCAGGTCAAACACTAACAGCAGAAATGTTCACTCATATAGATGTTAAAAATCTTAATAACGTGATGTTGACTTACTCATTAAGCCAGTGTTGTAACCTGCGGTTCCTCACTGAGTCAGACATAATGAGTACTTCAGACTCTGGTCTCTGCACGGCTCTGGGCTGAAAAAGGAAATGCAGAGTTAGGATTCTCCATTTCCTCCTTAACGGACACACACAAATAAACACCTTTATTATTATAGAAGGAAACTGTTGTGCCTCAGCCACTCCTCAAATGGAGGTCGGTGCTCTCAGAGAAGGACTTTAAGACGTACTGAATTATATTTTTTGTACCTAAATCACAACTTTAAAACTTGCAGAGCACACTGATCTGACTGTGTTTTTATTTCAAGTTCAGAACAACATTTAAAACTAAGATGTGTGTTTATATTAAAGCTTTTCTTTGGAAAATAAATAAATAAATAAATCAAAGTCTGCCTGCACTGTCAGGGTCAGTGAATGCTGCAGATTAAAGTCATGAAGCTCACAGCCGACTGAGCAGAGAATCAGTACACAAGATATACAAATATTAAGACTTATTTCAAATGTAAAACAAGAACACACGTCATTATTTTCCCTTTAAAAGTCTAAAAAACAAACAATAAAATAAACTACATCTGATTAGTTTGAGGATTTAGAAACACTGGATGGTACAACAGGCCTAGTCTACATTTATTAAAAGTTATTTATTTAAACAGACTTCTAAAATAAACATCTGGGGGCGCTGGTAGTCTGGTGATTGTTATGAGCGCTACATGTAGACTACTGTGGACCTCCAAGCGGGCGGCCAAGGTTCGAATCCGACCTGTGGCTCCTCTCCCGCATGTCATTCCTCTCTCTCTCTCTCTCTCTCTCTGATTTCTGACTCTATCCACTGTCCTGTCTTAAAATGAAGGCATAAGAAGCCCCAAAATAAACATTTTTGTTTAACCTAAAAAAGTTATTCAAACTAAAGTGTAGGTTTAAATAATGACGTCAAATTGTCCTTTAATATTAATCAACTTTTATAAAAGTTATCAATATGTAGACTAACAAATGTTATCTTAGGTTTTATAGCGTAAAGGCTGCTGACGTGTTTCCTTATTTTGTACCCGAGCTTCTGAAGATATGAAAAAGTAAACACCATTAAACCAACTTCTAAATACTGAAATAAAGCTTATGAAGAATTCTTTACCCGTATGAGTTCACTCAAACTCAGATTAATTTCTCAGTTTCCTCTAAAAATGTTGTTTGTTTACAATCCGTATCTCTCAGGCCTCACAGGATGTATCTCTTCAACATCAGCGGTGGTAAAAACACGGATATAAAATAAAGAAAACACGTCCTCTATACATTTTCTGACAAACTTTCCAAACAGAAGGACACAAATAAATAAATTACTTTCTTTAAGGTGTATAAAACATGCATAGACGTTACCTTTAGATGGAGAAAAACAAACTGCGACACAGATTGATAAGGAAAGTAATTCAGCGACCTTAAACCAAACTTGTTACGTTACCTTTGTCAGAGAATATAAAGTGATAAGGAAAGTAATTCAGTGACCTTCAACCTTAAACCACACCTGTTCTCCTTTAACCCCTTACACAATGCACAGGCTACATTAGCCTCTTTACCCAAAGTGTTTTCTTTAATAGCTCTGATTTCAGAGATCGGAGGTATTTATTCGGCACCTGTCACTTTCAAACTTCATTGTATATTATGTTGTATTATTTAATTGATTTTTTATATATTTATATTGTGATATTGGCAGGGGTTAATAGTTCGTATATTTTGGTTTTAGTATTTGTATATTTACTGATAGTAGGCATAAACAGGCTTGCTCAGACTTCGCTGTATTTCCCCCCCCCAAGAGTGTGCAGCCTGGAGCCTCTCGTCTCATGCCCTCTAGTCTCATGCCCTCTCGTCTCACGCCCTAGTCTCGGCTCATGCTCTCTCGTCTCATGCCCTCTCGTCTCATCCCCTCTCATCTCATGCTCTCTCGTCTCACGCCCTAGTCTCGTCTCATGCTCTCTCGTCTCATGCCCTCTCGTCTCATGCCCTCTCGTCTCATGCCCTCTCGTCTCATGCTCTCTCGTCTCAAGCCCTCTCGTCTCATGCTCTCTTGTCTCATGCTCTCTCATCTCATGCCCTCTCGTCTCATGCTCTCTCGTCTCATGCTCTCTCGTCTCAAGCCCTCTCGTCTCATGCCGAGAGAAAATTCAGATTAGTTTCTTTGGAATAATTTTAATTTAATGCTTTTTTCTTTTCTTTTTTTTTTTCTCTTTCAGTAAAAAATGCTATGCTGGGTTTACTTACACAGCTTACACATAATACCAACCACAACAATAACACTATTTATTATGTTTTTAAATATCTGAATCAGTTGCTGTTGGCCGAACATTTGAGTCTGAATCAGATCAGAACTGAACAAAAGTGGACGGGTGCATCTCTAGCAGTTCTTAGCCTCACCTGATTGGTCTGTCCGAAGTCATCGCAGCCTCCAAATATGTACATGTGACCATCCAGGGAGCAGCTGCAGGTCCCAGACATGGAGGGAGGGACTTCCCCTGGCATGTGAAACACTTTCCTTCAAAATGATTATTTAAAAATAAAAAATGTGAATAAACAACTCGTAACACGATCAGAACACCAACGATCAGACAGCAGAAAGATATTTAGAGGATCATTATGACAGAAAAGTGTTTTTAAAAAAGAGTTTTGTCTCCTGACAGACATAAACACAATCAATATGAAGTAATCAGTGTTCTTACCATGAGCCTTGCTCGAGGTCGTACGCCCAGATTTCATCATTGGGTAGAAACACTTCATCATCAGCGACTGACTGAAAATACAACACCTCCATTAAAGTTAAAAACAACGATAACACTTCTCTTTGTTTGTGATTATGTGAGTAAATTATCAACATGAAAAAACATCAAAGCTGAAAGTTGTCGTCTGCTGAATAAACTTTAAGGTCAGAGTGAAACCGTTTTTCTTAGGGCACCATGTGTCTTTACGGAATTTAAAAATCAATGTTTTTTAATGTGTTATAAATAGAGCCTAACCGATACAGGTTTTTTGTGTCTGATAACAATATTAGGGAGAGAGAGAAAACGATACCGATATATCGGCCGATGTCTTTCTCAGATTGTATTTCGATCTGTAGAGATAGATAGAGATGGATAAACACATTTATTGCGCTGATCCCTTAAATGCAGTCATCAAACACTTTTAGAAAAGATTGCTTCACCTCTTGACACTCTGGAGAGTGATGATGCTTGTTGTAATCCATGTAGCGCCCTCTGCTGGTGACAGAGAACTGCTAGTGTAATACAATGATGCTCAACTGAAATGCTATTTGACTGGTGAATAAATCGAGTAATATCAGCGCATAGCTGCACTAAAATTAGCTGATACCGATAGTCACTGGATGTGCTAATATCGGCCGATATTATCGGCTTGCAGATCAATCGGTCGGGCTCTGGTATTGAGCACTGATGTCACTTTATCATGTTTTGATGAAGGATGCAGAATAAAAAGAATGTGTTAATTTATATCTGTAAAGTATGATATTTGAGAACAAGGAACACTACATGAGTATTTACTGCTGTCCTATTCAATCTATGATCTGTGGTGCTAACTGTATGCTGCCTGTTTTATAACTGTTTTTGTATTTTGTTTTCTTTTAATTGCTTATGTAACCCGTGTGTAAAGGATGTGTTCTGCGTTGTGTTCTGCGTTGCAGAAATAAATCAGGAGAGAGCTCTTGGATTCTGGTTCTCTGTATTCAACAGATAAAAGCACATATCAGTCCTGTGTGTGTGTGTGTGTGTGTGTGTGTGTGTGTGTGTGTGTGTGTGTGTGTGTGTGTGTGTGGTCAGAGTCGAGCATCTCCCCTCTGACCAAAGCTGTAACGGCTCTGCTCTTGTTTCACAAATTAAACATTCATTCAAAATAATGCGATAAAATCAACAGCACTTCAAAATGAACACAATTGTTAAAAAAACGATATTATCCAAAATAAAGTTAAAATAGGATACATAATAAATACAACATAAGAACAATATTTAGAAAACTAACCCAAATAAACAATAAAATAAGACATCAAACCAACAATAATATGGAGCCAGAAAATCCCTTACATTTAGCATTTATGTAGCCGTTAACATTTACGGCGAAACTAACTTTATATACAATACTCAAAACTTTGTAAAACTGATACAGAATAAAACAAATATGATCATAAACAGAACACCACAGTTTGATTACATGTAAACTATAAAAAAAAATACTTTTAATTGAATTTATCGACGGAGCATTAATCACCTCAAACCTACCTCTGACCAAAGTTGTAACGGCTCTAACCTCCGTCATTACGTCATTACGTCATTACGCACAGACACACAGACTCCAAAATAAACAGGCAGGAGAAGAATGGAAAACAATTCAGATTTAAAATGAAAAATTTGTGTTTTGGGGAAATTCATATGTGGTCAATGACCGCCATAAAATACCACTTCCGGTTCTCTCTTTTCAAAATAAAATACCTCATTATCCATATGCATGATGTTCGAACAGATTTTATTTTATTGTATTGGAAAACGAAAATAACTTTTATTCTTTTAACTGTATTCATAGATTTTTCTTTATGACAGTACAGCAGTATTGCCAGCAGAAGGTGATAATCAAGTGGTCACAGTTTTAGATAAAAAACATCCTGACCCCCTCCCCAACAACAAATACACAAAACGAATAAAACAATGATATAAAATTGATTATTGATATGGAAAAAACTTAATCTGAAATAATTGTACACTTCTTTTTATAATGTATACTTTGTATATTATGAGATTATACATAGACAAACATTTGTAATTGTCATGGTAACGGAGCTCAGAGCTTGCCTCAGTTCATTTTTTATTATACATGTCTTGAAAAATAGACAAATCCATGACATTGATAGTCTCCTGCTGTGAGGAGCATATGTGAACAGTCAGGTCAGGAGAATATCCGGAGCAGTCCTCGTGAAATCATTTTAAACAGTGTATATGTGAATGCAGATTCATTGACTGCTTCCTGCATTTGATACATTCCCCTTTCTGACGTTTGTAAATTTGTCTCATCGCTCTTAAAGTGTTTGAAACCTTTTAAATGTGTTTTCTAAAATGTAAATAAGTTTGGTCTTTGATTCAAGTGTGTTGCTTTTGTAATTTTGTTTACATTTTTCTCAAGCTTTGCAAAAGTATTTTATTCTTTGTATTTTTGGTTTGCACTTCCCAGCCACCGTACTTTGATTACAAAGATGATGACAGTAGGATAATAAAAAACAACAGTTGTTTTTAAGGCTGAGTTGACTTCATCATCTTCTGTGACTAACCAATCTTATCATTTAAATTTGTTTGTATCCAAATCAAGCTGTCACAAAAAGAGCTACAGATCATTATACTCAACATGGTTTTCAAACAACCAGTCAGCCCAAAGTCCAGACGCAGAGTTCAGAGATTTAGATCACTGATTTGGTCTCCTCCTCTTCATCCTGCATGGAGTGATAAGCACTGAATGATTATTCTTCATCAAAATAAACATTCAAATCAAAAGCAGCTCGGGGGCGCTGTTGAGCTGGCAATGGAGTAGGACGTGTTAAGTTTGGGCTCTCGTCGGCCTCTGTTTTATTTAAAGTTAATAAGCGCTTTCAACAACAAAACAACATGAAGAATGCACTTTGACGCTCTCAAAAGTGAATTAAAAGTGGTAGAATGGAGATAATAAATAATACGGCGGCAATACATACTGAGATTGACCAAATGAAGGCTACAATCAAAGAAGTGGAAGGTCGGCTATCAACGTGGTCTGACGAGGTGGCAACTTTACGGTCTACAGTGACTGACTTGAAAGCAGAGATAACGGGGCTCAGAGAGAAATGTGAGGACATGGAGGGACGGATGCGAAGATGCAACATCAGGATATTGGGGGTGGCTGAGACGGCTGGATCAAGCTCTACTACATCTGTCAGGGAAGCATTACAGCTGGACAAAGATGTGCTCGTAGACCGCTCACATAGAAGCCTGGCCCCAAAAAGGCAGGATGGAAAGTCACGGCCCATCATCGCTAAACGCCACTACTATCAGGACTGTGTCGAGGTGCTGAGCCCACTCCGGGCCAACGGGGAAACGGTTGCCATATTTCCCGACTACACTGCCAGCGTCACCAAGGCCAGGAGTGCGTTCACGGAGGTTAGGAAGCTGCTGCGCAACCGTCAGGGTGTCCGGTATGGCATACTGTTTCCAGCCCGATTACGCATAACGCACAATGGAGAAGACAGGGAATTCACGGACGCAGACAAGGCGATGGGATACGTTAAGAAGAAAATCCTTCCTACAGCAGAGGTTAGAGATTGAGTGAAAGACTGAACTTTGTGCTCATAAGTGCCTATAAGCTGTTTATGAGAGGCGGGGAGGGGGAATTGTTTTCTTCTGCTGTTAACGCTTCATCTCCTCTGCTTCCATTGAACCGTTTTCTTTTTGTTTTCTTTTTATTTTATT